ATGCCAGTGCGCAGCCTTGGGTGAGTCTGCTCTGGGCCGCCCCCTCGCTTTCCTGGGAGCTCTCGGCGGTGCTCGCCGACCATGCCAGACAGCTCTCATCCAAGCATTAGCGCGCGGCGGAGCAGCACAGGGACCCCAGCTGGAAGTGTTGGGTCAGGTCTCACAGCTCTGCAGGCGGGGGAGCCTTGTTAAACCTCTCGAAGCCACCCACCCCGTGGCACAGCAGCCCTTGTTCTAAACACAATGGCTCCCTGCCGCCAGCGCCTGCCAGTCACGAGGAGGAGATGGCGCTTTTGGTGTCCGAGTGGGGGGCGTGCTGGGAGGTTGGGTCCTTGGCCGATCCGCTTTTGTGGCCCTCGGATATGGGCCCTCACTTGCCCGATTTCAATCTGGATGACCTCAAAGCGTGTCTCCGAAGCTTTCGAGCCAGCAGCGGTGCTGGCTACGATCAGATCTCGCCCCGTCAGTTGCTTGAGCTTCCAGACGAAGGCCTCGAGTGCTTTCGACAGCTAATTTTCACTATCGAGAGCAGCTTTGACTGGCCACGGCCGTGGTCAAAGGTGGTCTTCAAATTGAAGCGCGCGGGAGGCTTGAGGCCCATAGCTTTAATGCATGTCACGTCCAGAGTGCAAGGGCGCCTTCGCCGCCCCCTCATTCGGCATTGGCAGCAGCAGAACTTTCGGGAGTTCTGGTGGTCGACTCGGGGGAGGGGCTCGGATCGGCTTGTCTGGGTTCAAGCTGCCTTCGCCGAGTGGGCCCAGGGGCGCGGCCTTTTTGCAGGCACGGTCCCGCAGGACCTGCACCAAGCTTTTGAACCTGTTCGGCACGAAGAGCTGCTCAAGGCGGCTCAAGCCACGGGATTCCCTCTTCGGCAGTTGCGGTTGTTGGTGAGCCTGTATCGGGCTCCGCGGGCCCTGGACCATGCTGGGGCCACCTCGGCCCCCATCCGCACCGAGAAGGCTGTGCTTCCAGGTTGTCATTTCGCCACCGTCGTGCTGCAGTTGGTGCTGCTCGCCCCGCTTGACGCGGCGCAAGCAGCCTTCCCCCTCCGCGCTGCTCGAGAGGTCCAGATCGGAGTGGTGGTGGACGGCTCGGGGTTGCACAAGGTCGGATCCTCTGAGCAGGTGCGAGACACTCTAGTGCAAGCCACGCGTATGCTCCACCAAGAGCTGGATGCTGTGCATCTTCCAGTTAGCAAGCCCAAGTCTCGCGTGCTCGCCTCCTGTCCACGGCTTCGCGCGCAGTTAGCCCTTGCGCTCAAAGCCAAGAGTGTGCTCAGTGTGCAGAGTGAGGGCAATCTTGGAATCGATTATGCTGCAGGAGGTGCGACCAAGAGACACGCCAAATCTGGTCGTTTCACTGCCGCGACGGTGCGTCACAAAAAGATCCCCAGCTTGTCTAGCAAGTTATGTAAGAGGCGAGTGCATCATATGGTTCGCGCCGCCGTTCAGGCCTCCACCTCATACGGGTCGGGGGTGATGGGCAGCAGCGGACGAGAGCTTGCGCAGGCTCGTTTTCATCAGGCGTCCGTGCAGTCGCAGAGGGTGGCAGGACGCTCCATCACTCTCATGCTACAGTTGTCTGGCATCCCTCTTCTTCCTCAACGTCTTTCCTCTTCTTTCTGTCGCTACCTCGCTCTGGGACGGTTGGGTGCCCGGAGGGGTGGTGGTGCAAGGCCTCGAAGGCGCGTGGCAGAAACTTCAAGAGCACGGCTCTCCTTGGCAAGCCATTCGGGGCCCTTTTTCAGCCGCTGTCGCCACGGCCATGCGACTAGGTATCAAGATGAACGGTCTCGAGTGGCAGCATCCCAGCGTGGGCGTTTTCTCGGTTGAGGCGTTGTGTCCCCGCACGGTCAAAATTATCCTTGAGACCGTCGTCGAGAGCTGGCTTTGGAGGAAGGTGGCCAACCACCTTCAGATGCCCGGGTTTGAGCAAGGCCCTTTCCTCGCTCCTATCAAGGCTGGTATGTCCAAGCTGAGAGCATGAAAGAGCCTACGTAGTCAGTGTTGTTTCGGGCGACCAATGGCCGCAAGACAGGCAGTATCAGCTCGGTTTGTCCTCTCGACAGGAGTGTCAGGTCTGTGGCTCGGGCCCTGGGACCCTTTTTGCACAGGCATGTCGGTTGCGCCGGCCATCAGGACATGCTTGAGCTAGAGCAGGAACCGCCTGCGTGTACGCAGGCTATGGTGATAGCAGCAGGTAATCCTCTTGTTCGCCTCCTCCTCGAGAGGCTGCTTGTGCCGCTGCATGCCCCCCCTCCCTCTCGACCCACCCCCCCTGAGGAACTTTGGCCCCTCGGAACCCCCGATCTGCTCGGAGGAGATTGTTTTCTCGACGGGAGTCTCTTCGATTCGGACCTCCCACCCACCGCGCGCTCACTAGGCTGGGCCATCGTCTCGCTCCATGACGATCCGAGCCTGCCCGTGCCCCAAGTGAAGCGCGCGGTGGTGGCGGGGGGGCTTCCAGCTGGTCATTTCGACACTGACGCGTGCGAGCTTTGGGCGTTTTTCATGGGCGTGAGGCAGGCCCTCCCCGATGCCTGTTTCTGGACCGACTCCAGTTTTGTTTTCCAGGGCGTGTGGCATCGTGGGCGCCAGTTTTGTTGCTCGTCTAAAGCCGCGTGGGCTGATATCTGGAAGCTCGTCCGGCACGCCATCGACGACAGAGGTGGTCTCGAGGCGCTGCGGCTTAACAAAGTCAAGGCGCACACCACTCGCGCCGACGTCATTTCTGGTCGCCTTTCGGCCAGGGCTCAGGCGGGCAATGAGTTGGCCGACACTTACGCCAAACAAGCTGCAGAGTACGGCTGAGTCGGTCAGCCGTATCGTGATCTGTTCCATGGTCAGTTTAAAGTTGTGTGCGCCCTGACCCGATGGGCTGGCGCTTGCGGGCCCCCTATGGCCGATCTGGATTGTCTGCGCGCCCCCGTGTCCAAGCGGGTCAGGGCGCCCAAGGTTGATGTGCCCAGGCTGCAAGTAATTCCTCCTCCTCCCGCGGTTTCGTCGGTCGAACACCGAGCCGATGTCGCGATCGCGGTCCTGAGGAGAGAGGGCCACGCTACTCACCGTGCCTTTCCCTTCACTCTCGCGGGGGGGAGGCGGGGGGCGGTGCGTGCCCAGTGCGGTGCTGGCGGAGTCACCGTGTCGAAACAGTTTCGCGAGCCGTGCCCGCCAGTGCCCTCAGTCTGGGGTAATCGTGTTTTGCGAGGCCTTGAGCAGGGCAAGTACAAGCAAGGGAAGGAGTGGATCCTCCTCACTGAAGCTTGGAAACCCGCTAGTCTGGAGAGAAGCGGTAAGGGCGTGGGCCCAGGCCGCCCTCAGAGAGAGCACCCTGTCGCTGGCCCCTTGACTGGATGGCGCCCCCAGTCGAGGGTGACAAAAAGGTCGCCTTGATGAGTGCTCTCCTGAGGTTTTCGTTCAACGGAGGCCTTCCTCCGTCGGGGCTCGCGAGCGCCTACTGCGCGCGCAGGAGGAGGAGGAGGAGGAGGAGGCGGAGGCGGAGGCGGAGGCGGCGGAGGCGGAGGAAGAGGAGGAGGAGGAGGGGGAGGAGGAAACGGAAGAGGAGGGGGAGGGATGAGGATGTTGAGGAGGAGGCGGATTATGATGATGATGATGATGAGGACGAGGAGCAGGAGGAGTAGGGAGGAGGAGGAGGAGGAGGATGCGGAGGAGGAGGAGGAAGAGAAGGAGGAGGAGGATGAGGATGAGGATGAAGATGCTGATGATGATGACAATGACAATGACGATGATGATGCTGCTGATGATGATGATGATGATGATGCTGATGCTGATGCTGATGATGATAATGATGATGCTGATGATGATGATGATGAGGAGGAGGAGGAGGAGGAGGAGGAGGACGTGGAGGCGGAGGAGGAGGAGGAGGAGACGGAAGGCGAGGAGAGGAGGAGGAGGAGGAGGAGGATGGGGAGGAGGAGGATGAGGAGGAGGAGGAGGAGGAGGAGGTGGAGGAGATGAGGCGGAGGAGGAAGAGGAGGAAGTGATGGAGGAGGGAGGACGGCGGAGGGATGGAGGGATGGATGGATGGGGAGGGAGGGAGGTAGGAGGAGGGAGGGAGGGAGGCGGGAGGGATGGGGGGGAGCGAGGGGGAGGAGAGATTTATAGGGGGGGAGGCGGGGGATGATGAGGAGGAGGAGGAGGGGAGGAGGAGGAGGAGGAAGCGGAGGAGGAGGAGGAGGAGGTGGATGAGGAGGAGGAGAATAGGAGGAGTCGGAGGAGGAGGAGGAGGAGGAGGAGGAGGAGGAGGACAAGGAGGAGGAGGAGGAGGAGGAGGAGGAGAGGAGGGAGAGGAGGAGGAGGAGGAGGAGGAGGAGGAGGAGGAGGAGAGGAGGAGGAGGAGGAGGAGGGGGAGGGGAGGAGGAGGAGGAGGAGGAGTTGGAGAAGGCGGCGGAGTTGGAGGAGGAGGACGGAGGCGGAGGAGGAGTAGGGGAGGAGGGGAGGAGGAGGGAGGAGGAGGGAGGGAGGAGGGAGGGAAGACGAGGGGGAGGATCAGGAGTAGAAGGAAGAGGGGGGAGGAGGATGAGGAGGAGGAGGAGGAGTAGGAGGAAGAGGAGGAGGAGGGAAGGCGAAGGGAGGGGAGGAGGGAGGGAGGGAGGAGGGAGGGCGGGAGGGAGGACGAACAGTTGGACGAGGAGGAGGACGAGGAGGGGGAAGGGGGGGAAGGAGGAGGAGGAGGAGGCGGAGGAGGAGGAGGAGGAGGAGGAGGAGGGGGAGGAGGACGAGGACGAGGATGATGAGGAGGATGAGGAGGAGGAGGAGGAAGAGGAGGAGGAGGAGGAGGAGGAGGAGGAGGAGGAGGAGGAGGAGGACAAGGAGGAGGAGGAGGAGGAGGAGGAGGAGGCCGTAGCCATTTTGGCTCAAGGGGCCTGCTCCTGAACTTCCCAACCTCGCTCAAGGGCGGCCACAGAGGGCCAGGTTGGGCGCGCGCCCCATCTCCAGCACGGCCATCCGCAGTTGGCCGCCACTCGCCATCCTTGTGCGATGGCAGGGCAGTGGCGCTGGAATGCAAGCACGTCGCGCTGGGAGAAGAAGGGCAAGCAGCAGCAGCAGAGCAGGGCGTACGTCGTCTGCGAAGCGTGTTCACGCTGGAAGTGGGCGGACCGCCTCAAGAAAGATCCGCTGTGCGTTTGTGGCCAGGTTCTTGGCCATGATCCTGCTGCTGCCCATGATGAATCTACACGCAAGTACACCATCGATGACTTCATCAAGTTGCTCCAAGAACGGGGAGGTGAGTTTGCTCTCCCGACGTTTGCCAGCCGCGTCAAGGAGACCGTCACCGTCAACGCCGCCAACGGGCCCTCCCAGAAGTCCCTCAGCGAGTCCTTCAAGCTGCGCCAGGAGGCAGTGGAGAGGGCTGCGAGGCACAAGGATGCTGCAGATCAACGAGTTCAGCAGCTCCGAGAGCAACTTGACGAGGCCGTCCAAGCCCAGACGGCCGCTGCCACGGCCCACGAGGAGGCCAAGGCAGCAGCAGCGGCCGCGGGCCGCGCCTATGCAGCCTTTGTGGGCCAAGGAGGTCCAGGTGCTGCAGCAGAAGCAGATGAAGACAAGTCCATGGCCAGCGAGGGATCCAATCTCAGCGACCTCGACGACCTGGACGAGGGTGACTACGAGGTCATGCGCCAGGCAGCGCAGGCCAAGCCGAAGCTCCAGCGCCTGTTCGCCAAGGTCGAGGAGCGCGCCAAGAAGAAGGCTCGCCGTGGCGCCAGGCCGCCAGCCGGGGGCGGAGCCCCCCCGCCCGCCGCCCCAGGCGACCACGGGCCTGCGGCCTGGCAGCCCATGGCGGCGGCTGCAGCGGCGGAGCTCCAAGCGAACGCCCGCGCGGCCGCCAACCAGGCCGAGGGTGCCCATGCAAGTGTCGCTCCGCAGGCTGGCCCAGGCACAACGGGGGGGTAGCATCACCATCTACCTCGCCAATATCACAACATGGAGTGAGAAGGCTGGCAAGTTTTGTTTCGACCAGAAGTTACCATTCGACTTTCTGTTTTTGACTGAGGTTCATAAGTCTGCAGGGGACTTGAGGCCGATCAGAAAGAAGTTTCGGAAAGCATCCTGGTCTACCTACGTTTGTCCAGCCTCCTCGACGTCTAAAGGGGGCACGCATGGGGGTGTACTTCTTGCAGCACAATCTAGATACCATACACATTCCAGATTCATGGGGGCCAAGGGGCACAAGAAGCCGATTGTTGAAGGGACTCAATGGGCCAGTTGTGTCTTGAGGCTTTCCAAAGTGGATATTCTTCTCATCGGGGTCTACCTCTGGGACTCCATAGGGTACAAGCAGGCCGATAGGGAGATTCTCAGGGAGATCATCGCCTTCATTAGGGTCATGCGCATGCCTTACATTCTAGGAGGTGATTTCAATATGGACCCGTCTGTCATAGAGGGGGCCAACATCCTTGAGTACATGAATGGCACGATCATCGTGCCCGACATTCCCTATACCAATGCGGTGACCAAAACCATGATCGATTATTTTATTGTTGATGATCGTTTGGCTACGAGCATCACCGTCGAGGGGCACCTGGAGGGCCCCTGGAGCCCGCATTACGGGCTGACCTTGACGTTGGAAGTTGAGGTTTTTACCAAGCAGATATGGGCCCTTGAGCGGCCAGCCCCCCTCCCACGGGCCCTGGGACCAGCACGGCCGTGGGCGGACTACTTCGGGAAGGCTTTCCTCCAGGTCCAGGGGCCCCAGTATGCGCAATATCCGACGTGTTTTGGACACCATGATGAGATACTCACGCACACCTTTGCAGTTCTCTGTAGGGCAGTAGAGATTCAGCAGCGAGGTATTGCAGTTTCCGACATCGAGTATCAGGCGGGGCTTGTGCCGCGTTTCGCCTGGAAGCCGCTCCTGCCGCCAGCGCCCAAGGAGGGCCGCACCAAGTCGGCCTCCAGCCAGTGGGCCACGCTCGGCATCCGCGCCAAGGAACGGGACCAAGCTAGAGATGATAGCGCACACTTTCAGAGGCTGCAGGAGTTCTTGGGGCATTTCTTTGACAAGATCCCCCATCCTGAACTATCACCAGAGGATTCTTGGGCTCTTGAGGCTTATCTTGGGGGTTACTCCGACAAGGACACACAGGCTAAGGGGCTGGAGATCATAGATCGGGTCCAGCACAACTTCCACCACTCTGAGCTGATAGAGTCTAAGGAGGGGTTCAAAAACTTTATCCTGGAATCGCTAAAGAAAGGGGGAGGGGCCGCCCATGCCATTACTCGTGCCCCTGGAGCCCACCCAGAACCACTTGAGGACCTTGAAGGCCCTGACGGGGAGATCATCACCGACCCCTACCAAGTCATGAATAAGAAACTTGAATACTGGATGAAGAAGTGGGACCCGAGGGACAAGAAACATCCTGCCCCGTTTGAGCCACATTGGGTCCGCAAGGTTCGTCTCCAAGCCATTGAGGATTGGCAGTTAGACTACCACGACTGGGACACCAGCGATGTTTTTAACGTGGTGGCCCTCTACAAGCCCTCAGCAGCACCTGGAGGCGACGGATGGTCAGTCCGAGATTTCCTCTGCCTGCAGGACGAGGGCCGCCAGAATTTCACTCTTTTAATCAACCAGATATGTCGGCGGCAGCAACTTCCCCTCCAGGTCCTACTCAACCTCATCTTCCTCCAGCCCAAAAATGCAGAATGTGACCGGCCCCTGACCCTTACGAATGGATTGTATCGGGTGCTTTGCAAGCTTTTCAGGACGGAACTTTCCTCGTGGGACCAGGACTCCGCGGGCTTCTGGGACCAGGCGCTCAAGGGGAACGACGCACTCAGGGCTGCAGTGTTATCGGAAGTAGCAGCAGAAATAGCATCGGCAGGAGGAGTATCTATGGTGGAAGCTCTCCTAGACCTAGAAAAGTTCTTTGACTCAGTGGAACTTGAGTGGATGGTCCACTCGGCCTTGCGCCTCAACTACCCGACCCCCCCGCTGGCATTGGCGCTCATGGTACATCGATGTACTAGGGTCCTTACGTCGGCGATAGGGTGTTCAGATTTTGCAGTGCCTGACAAGTCCATGCTGCAGGGCTGCGGGCAAAGTTGCTCCATGGCACGCGCATTCTTGTATCACGTCCTAGATAAGTTCCATCGGGACTATTTGCCGCTCAGTTTCCGCACCTGGGTGGACGACCTCCGAGTGCGCATGTGGGCATCATCAGAGCATATATTACGAATGTTCCCTGCCGCCATTGTTTCATTGGGGCATGACCTCGAGAGGCAAGGATGCAGGCTTTCGCCCAAGAGTTGTTTGATGGCCTCCAGTTCGACCTTGGCCGCAGGCGTCGCCCAGCGTCTTGAGAATGCAGGGGTTGCTATTTCAGTACAGCGTCAAGGTAGGGATCTTGGAGTTGATGCCACGCTAGGACGACAACGTAGACTTAAAGTACGTAAAGCTAGACAAGCAGCAGGATATACTCGTCTTGGGAAGATTCGAAGGCTCACTAAGAAGATTAAGAAGGCCCGAAGTTTGGTCACTACTGGGGCCCAACCTCAACTTGTCTGGGGATTCCAGGGACAAGGGGTGGCTCCCACGGCTCTCAGGACCCTCAGAGGCAGACTCGCCACCACTATGGGAATTGTCACTAAGTCCGGGTGTACTACTACTGCGTACGCCTTAACACCTAAGGGGCATCTGGTCATGGACCCAGGCTACTATATTCCCTTGGGTTGCTTGCAGCTTTGGTTTTCCATCTTGAATCAGGAGGAACATTTACACCTGGGGGTTGAACGAACATGGCCTAAGACCCATGCTCGACTCCAGGGGCCAGCTAGGTGGAACAAGGTATATAGCCTCATGTCGTCCGTGCTGGCCTACCTCTTGGACTTCCGTTGGGAGGTCTCGCATCCATGGAGGTGGACCAGCCCGTGCGGGCAACAGTACCACATCAAGCCAGGTAACGGCGAGACCAGTCCCGCCACGGGCGACCAGTCCGCTGTCATAGATATTTTCACCGCGCGCATCACCCAGAAGTACTGGGGACAGGCCGCCGAGTACTACTGTGGGGGAGGAGGAGATTCAGGAGTGGATGTTCACCAGTTTCGGCAGCACGTTGGAGGATGGAGGAGGAGTTCGAAGCACCTGTTTACTGCCGCCTATGCTGTCGCCAAAGGTTTCATCTGGCATGGGGCCAGAAGGTTTAAAGCAGGCATGGCAGGTTCCCCAGGCTGCTGGAGATGTGGAGCCCCCAGTGAAGATGCTTTTCACGCTTATTGGAATTGCCCCGCCCTCATTTCCCTGGGACATGAGCATGATGAGATCCGTGACTCGCAACACCTCCTCCCTAAAGCACGGGCTGAACGAAATATTTTCCCCATCAAATGGTTCCGAGGACTCCAGCCGCAGGAACAGACGATCGGGTTTTTAGCATCCAGACCTAGGAACAGCCAGGTGTACGGTACGGGCTGCCTTCTCACGGGCCGCTACAGTTTCACCGAGACCAGGCTGATCGGCACGGACGGGTCAGGTGGAAAGTTCTCTGCTGACCCCCGCCTTCGACGAGTAGGATGGGGACTCGCTCTCATGGGACGTGATAATTGGACCCACGGAACCCTTTGCGGTCTTGCCGCAGGAGCCCAAACCATCAACCGAGGTGAAATTACCGCTGCCATATACGCCTTGGCCCTTGAAGGGCCCATCGTCATCGTTACCGACAGTGATTATCTCATGAAAGGCGTCCGCAGGGGAGAGCAGTGGAAACATAAAAACAATACCGACTTGTGGTGTCTCTTTTGGCAGGCCTATAATGACAGGACCCACCACGTCGCCTTTAAGAAGACCAAGGCGCACGCCACGCTGAGCGACATCAGCGATGGCACCGTGCGCCCCGACTTTTACATTGCCAACGTTGCCGCCGACGCCGTTGCGCGCAGAGCAGCTGAGTTTTTCGGATTTACTGAGGAGGAGGTATTGGAGGTCCAGGCCAGGGATAAGGAGATGCAGTTGATCAGGTCCCGTCTTGCATGTATCCAACATCTTAACTGGAAACACGGCCCCAATCTTAAGCAGCAGAAGGTCCCGAAAAGTGCCAAAACCCGACGGCTTCGAGAAGCCGAGATGAGCCCGCACTCTGTCATCAAAGGAGGGGGTACCACAAGTTGTACCCGCTGTGCTGCCTTTTCTGCTTTGCCTTCTCCAGGATGGGTTACGCAGGTGTGCCTACCCAGGAAGTGTATTTTTGAAGTCCACCCCTCCCACCACCCCAACATATGTATGGTTAAAGGGGTGGTGTTCTGTTCCAAGTGTGGGGGGTGGGCTGCTTCCCGAGCCACCAAACTTTCAGGTCCTTGCGAGAAGCCAACAAGTACGGGGATCAAAGCGTCTCGTCGGTTGTTGCAGGGACAGAAGCCCAAAGGGCTTCTCGAATGGCCCGTGGGACAACTTGCCCATTTAAGAACGCAGGTTGCGACCCGCTGTGGCCTTCCACGAGAGAAGATAATCTCGTGAGTCTTTGTCAGAAGGGCCCTGGCGCGCAGGGAGCCCACCTTCTAGTGCAGGTCAATAGGTCAATAGGGAGGAGGAGGAGGAGGAGGCGGAGGAGGCGGAGAAGGAGGGGGAGGAGCACCCCGATGGCCTGCCCACGGGCCCTTACCGCCCCGTCCCCAGCCTGGCTGGAGAAGGCGGCACGGCTCCACGGCCCCGGGCCGGGGGAGGGGCGCACCGTGGGTCCGAGTAGGTGGGGTCGGAGGAGCGCGCCGCATCGCCGATGCATCGGCGATGCTTCTCGATGTGGAGCCGATTTGCTTCACATCGACGTTGCCGATACATCCCCGACGCCGACGATGCATCACTTGTGCATCGCCGATTCATCGCCGATGTATCGGCGATGCGGCGCGATCCTCTGAGCCTATTTGCTCCGACCCCATCTAGGAGGCCTCTAGTGGAAGCGCAGCGTTGGTGCGCATGCCCAGGACGCTGAATCACTAACTCAAAACAGACGCCCAGTCCCAGAAACGCGGGGGCCAAGACAGAACGCAGGCTCCTCGAGACTCCAGGGAGGGAGATTTTTTTGGGTAGGGTTTTTTGTTACCAGGGCGACAACGGCGAGCGCAGAACATACCCCGAAATCTCTGGCCGATCTTCGAATCCTCGGTGAATCCGCGATTTTGGGATTGGGGATCTGCTTTTTTAGGGGGGCAGGGGGGAAACACAGACACAATTAATCGTCGATCCCCAGGAAAATATGGGGAAACATGGGAAGTGGGGGGGAAGACGAACACCCAGAACATATAGGAAACTATGGGGAACCCTTGGATTTGTGTGTGTTTTTTGTGTGTCCCCGGGCCCCTTCACATGTACTTTTCCCTCGCCCACGATAGAAGGGGCGCTCGGAGCGAGTCGGCTTCACGCAGCAGCGGCCCTTCGCCGGAGCGGCTTCTTACTGCGAGCCGACGGGGGGCCCGCGATGGCCGAGAGTGCGGTGCGGCAGCCGCGGCGTGCGGCAGCCGTAGCCTGCCCCCCCCGCGGCCCCCCGGGCGGGGCGCGGCGAGCACGAGGTCGCTCCTCTCGCCCAGGGCCGCTCTCGCGCGTGGCCGCTGGGGGGGGGGGCTCTGCCTGCCGGGGCGAGATCCTTCGGGGGTGGACAGGGCCCTTCCTCCTCCTCCTCCTCCTCCTCATCCTCCTCCTCCTCCTCCTCCTCCTCCTCCTCCTCCTCCTCCTCCTCCTCCTCCTCCTCCTCCTCCTCCCCTTCTCGGGGGTGGGCAGACCCCCCACCCTGACACGTCGATTAGTGAACCGTCCGTTTCAAGCTCTCGAGAGGGCGCCGCGGCCGTCATTCCCCAGGCGTGCGCCCGGCTTGGGCCCGAGGTCGTCTTCACGAGACCACGCCGTGTGCGCAAGGGCGTTCGGTCCGTCCCCGAGTCACCTGGGGATCTGGGTCTGAGGCTCGTGGCCGAGGCTGCGCGTGCCCGAGGCTCTGGACCTGGGGAGCCTGCGCGTGGCCGAGGCTCGCCGTGGCCAGAGCAGTCGGGGTGGACAGACCTCCTACCCTGACACGTCGATCAGCGAACTGGCCGTTTTCGGTTCGCGAGAGGGCGTCGCGGCCGTCGTTTTTGCGGGTCCAGGTCCGTCGGTGTCGGTCCCAGGCCTTTTTCACTAAATGGAGGTTTGCTAAAGAGAGGTTTGTCCACCGCCGAATCGTTCCTTCCACGGCGCTCCTCACGGCAGGAGGATGGCCGCACCCTCAGTCGGCGACTGCAAACGGTATGGTTAACGCCCGGGTATGAGATGTGTTCGGCACCACTGGGGCCCGAGGAGCACGACGCGGTCCTCGTCGGGCCTCTTCGGGGCGCGGCGGAGAGCTCCGTCGAGGTCCTCGGCCGCCCCCAGGGTGACCCCCAGGGTGGCGGTTGCAAACCACACCCTTTGCAAACCACACCTTTCGGAGTCGCCGACTCGGATCCGATGCTGCGGACAAGAGTCAGGAGGGAAAGAGCCACACAGGCACAATGAATCTTGGATCACCAGGAAGATGAGGGACCAGAACATGTGGGAACATGTTGGGGATCCTGGGACTCGTGTGTATTTCTTTGCGAGCCCTGGGCCCCTTCAAAGGTGCAGACATCGCGGGGCATCGCGGCAGGAGCCTCACGAGCCCCACTGGGGCCCCGCACGATGTGGCGGAGGTGCCCGGGGACGGGCGCGCAGCGCCCCGACCTCGGGGCCGCTCTTTCTCCGCTGCCGCCCAGGGGTTCGGTGGCGTCGGTCGCTCGGGGAGGGGGTTGGGTTGGGTACTGCGGGGCCCAGGCCAAGGAGGGGGAGGAGGAAGAGGAGGAGGAGGAGGAGGAGGAGGAGGAGAAGGAGGGGGAGGAGGAGGAGGAGGAGGAGGAGGAGGGGGAGGAGGAGGAGGAGGAGGAGGAGGAGGAGGAGGAGGAGGAGGATCTCCTGGCCCCCTCTTCCTCTTTCTTATGCGTCCCGTTGCCCCCCCCCCCTCCCCCCCTCGTCTGCGCACACGCATCGAGCCACGATCTGCGAAGCCCCCTCTTGGACCCCCCCCCTCCTGGACGCCCCCCACTGCAGGTGCTCCTCGAGGGCGCCCGCTTCTCTTCTCGGGGCTACGCCACCATGCTGCCCCTGTGCGGCGGCACCGTCGTCAGCAGCGCCTCCGAGCTGAACTTCTCGTGGGCGGGCCTCGCGCTCTCGGCGGTGGCCGTCCTGCTGCGCGCGCTGAAGCAGATCCTGCAGGGCAGGCTCCTCTGCGACGAGAGCGTGGACTCGGTGACGCTCTGCTACTATCCAGTCGCGCTGCCGCGCGCCTTCCGCTCGGCGGGCAGGACCCGCGTCCAGATCCACGGCGTCCCGCAGTTTCGGGCTCCCTTCCCCGCACCCCCGAGGCGCAGTGGGTGCAGTCGAGACCCACGCCAAGGAACACCCCCCCTTGCCTCCAGGGTGCCCTGGGTTTCCTGGGCGCCGATGGTTTCTGATCACGTAGAGCGTGACGTTGCCACACCAAGAGTCCATCGACGTCCTGGGGTCTCAGGGTTGGGTTTCTTGTGGAAGGTTTCTTGTGGACTGGCCTCCACTGTATGGATAAACGTTTGGCCCCCAGAGGCAAGATGCTTATCCATGATCACTGCGTCTCTGCCTTCTGGCGCCCCTTCCCAGGAAATCCAAGACGCAGTGGATGCATATACACATGTTGCCCACACGCTCGGTACCACCTAGACATACTTCTGCTCTGTGATTGCATTCTTATTCATCGTCTTGCCGATCGGCGCGGGCCCTCGCACGCCTCCCTTTCCCCCATGGAGTAGATACTGGCTGTTTTAGGCGCCCATCTCGAGCGGGTGGAGTCTCCCCCATAGGGCGCACTGTTGCCATCAGTCGCGCTAAGAAGAGGTCCGCAGCCAGAGGTCCGGAGCCAGACCCCCTGCTGATGGGCCTGCTTTCCACCACCATAAGTTGGAGGGGAGGGGGTCCTCCTCCTCCTCCTCATCCTCCTCCTCCTCCTCTTCGTCCTCCTCCAACTCCTCTTCGTCCTCTTCTTCCTCGTCGTCGTCGTCCTCCTCCTTCTCCTCCTCCTCCTCCTCCTTCTCCTCCTCCTTCCCCTCCTCCTCCCCCTCCTCCTCCTCCTCCTCCTCCTCCTCCCCCTCCTCCTCCTCCTCCTCCTCCTCCTCGTCCTCCTCCTTCCCCCCGTCCAACTGATGGTGGTGCTGGTAGTGGAGAACAGGCCCGTCACCCGCCCCCCCCTTTCTGCTCCCTGTCGAGGCGCCGATTCAGGAAGCGCTCACGCGTGTGCGTTCCGGCCCCCGCAAGGGCGGCGTGTACGCTCGGACACCTCACGCGGTACAGGCTCCGCGGCGAGCGTTTTTTCTGGCCGTGCCGCGCGGGGAACAATCAGGAGGGAAAAACACACAGACACAATGAATCGTCGATTCCCAGGAAAGTATGCGAACATATGGGAAGTGGGGGGGAAGACAGAGACCCAGAAGATATGTGTGAAAATATGGGAAATTGTTACTTGTGCACACTTCTTTGTGTGTCCCAGGGCCCCTTCAAGCAAGACTTGTGCATCACGTGTTCGTGCCGGTGGCGTGCTCGTTGCCATGTTTTTTTCCTTCGCGGGTGGCACAGCCTGCCTCTGGTTGCCCGGCGTCCGACTTGGTTCGTGCGCCTGCGCACCCAAGAGTGTCTGTGTCGGACATGCGCCTCCGGCATCAGCACGTGGTGCCAGTGTGCCCTTCTGCGCCCCAGCTTCCCAGAGCTCCGTCGGCGCTCAGCCTCGCATCCGCTCCGCCCCAGCTTCCCAGCTTCGCACCCGCTCCGCCCCAGCTTCAATCCTGGCGTGATTTTTCCTAGATCTCGGCCGGGGGGATCGTTTTCGAGCCCGTCGGACCATCAGACACGGATCCGGGGCGACACCTTACCCTCCGGGAGGGGTCGGGACCTTTGCGGCCGCGGATTCAACGGCATCACGTTTGCGGATAACTGCAGCGAGGGTTGGTGAGGCCCTTTTGGGAGGCGTTCGGCCAGCCCCGAGGCCAGAGAGCCTGCCCCCCAACGACGAAGCGCCGCCACCTCGCGCTGGGCACCGAAACCTCCCATGCAGCATGGCAATTGAACGCCGATGCGGGGCGCACCTCCTGATAGCTGCAGGCGCTACACGTAAGCTGTCATTGAAAATGGACGCCTGACATGGTCATGCGACGTGCCCACGCCAACAACGAAAACGTGAGGCGACGCATGTTCAGATACTGCGCTGGGACCAACATAAAGCATCGAACGTGTCAGGCCCGATATCAGCATGTGGCGCGCGCAGTCCAAACTTGGAAATTGTAGGGGCGGCAGCATTTGTTACAAACATTGCCACGCCTCCCCACGGCGTCTTCAGGTTTCCCTGAGGGGTCATAGGGGGAAGCTTCAGGCGTGCCGCTGGACACTTCTTTGATTCCCTAAAGAGCGGGCAAGTCTTGCAAGGGCACCTTCGCAAGTTTGCCAAGAGCCTGTCAGTTTCTCCAGGTACCTGGAATGTTTCTGGGGCGTCCATCGGGTTCTTTGAGGCTTTAGCAACTTTCCGGAGGCGCCGAAATCAATTCCGAGAGGGTTCCTTTGCCATTTCCTGAGGACGCCAGAAGCATTTGTTGCCGGCGCTGCAATCGCTGCTGGAGGGCAGAAGGCAATTTCTAGGGGGTGTCGACCTCACACCTAGAGAGCGCCAGAGTAGCTCCTAACGGCGTGTGCCGAGGCGAACACTAGGTGGCGGCTGCCCACGAGGTCGCCGAACCGGACGGTGCCAGCGCCTCTTCAGGTTCGATGCAATTCCAAGAGAGAGAGAGAGAGCGAGAGAGGGACAGGGAGGGAGAACGAGAGAGAGAGAGACAGAAAGAAAAGGACAAAGAGAGAGAGAGAGAGAAAAAAAAAAACAACAACAAAAAGAAAGAAAGAGAAGCCAATGATATTATCAGACATCGGCGAATTGATACCCAGAGGGCTCCAAAGCGTCGAACCAATATGTGGACGGTGACAGAACCAATCCTGAAGGGTTCGGATGCCACTTCTAGCTGTGCCGAAGCCACTTTCAAAGGTCGTCGGAGCAATTCCAGAGAGCGCCGAAACCACTTCTAGAGGACACCGAAGCTCTCACAGGGCGCGGAAAACACTGCTAGACGTTGCCGGAACTATGTCTGGGCGTTGCCCAAGTGTTTCCCAGAGGGCGCAAGTACCATTTTGTGAGGGCGCCGATGTAATTTGTACAGTGTGCCCAAGCCTATCGCTTCAGCTCCGAAACCGCTCTTAGATGGCACCACAACCACTTCAAGAGGTCACCGAAAACACTCGTATAGGACACCGAAGTTGTTTGTAGTGGGGGTGAAGCCGCTACTGCAGCACTCCAGGAACATGCTTAGATTGCGAGATGGTGTCGAAGCCAGGGTGCCGAGACGTTTTTCAGATGGCGCCCGAAGGACGTCCAGGCGGCGCCGGAGCCCGTTTCGATTGGCGCCGGATGCGCTCCTGGGTTCTTTGGATGCCTGCCAGAGAAGCCACTCCCATGGGGTCCCGAAACCACTTCTGGTGGGAAGGGAGCCCTTCCTAGAGCGCGCCGAAACCGTTCCTCGATGGCGGTGTCGAGGCCAGGGGCCGCAGCGACTTTCAGAGGGCGGGGTGGGGCTGCCCGTGCACACCCACCAGCCGCAGCAACCGACGCGGCGGCGGACATGGCGCCGTTCAACCTCCTGCTGTTCGCGTCGAGCAGCGTCGTCGTCGAGGGCAGGGCCCCCCTGCGCGGCATGTACTCGTCGCTCGGCGCCGGAGGCTCGGGGGAGTCCACATACCCCTCCGGGCCTCCCGAGGTGGGGTCCGAGCAGACGGGGCCGAAGGGTCGCACCGGGGCCGCCGATGCCTCGCCGACGCAGCGGCGAAGCGTCGGCGAGGCGGCGCGATCCTTCGGCCCCATCTGCTCGGAGCCCAGCTGCGGGGCCTCCAACATCACGGGTGCGAGCGCCGGACCGAGACCTCCGATCCATTGAAACATTCCGCGTGGCGGTTTGACGCCGTTTTCGGCCTTCGGGAACCCTCGCTCGGTCGCGGGACCATCAAGAACGACCCAGGATGCAAGTGGCCCGTACCGAACAACATCAAAACATGCAGCAGTCCGGGATCGGTTTGCAGGTAGCGGGGTTCAGCGTCACCGGGGCCCAGCCAGAGCGCCAGATCGTGGTGACATGCTGTGTTAGGGTCGGGCTGGGCTTTCGGGGGCCGTTCGGGGGACTTGCCTTCTTGCTGAGCTGGGTCATGGGAAGCCGCCCGAACATACGTGTGCGGCTCATTTTCTAAATCGGCTGAACGGGTTTCGTGTTGAGCCCGCTCGGTCCACGCCTGCAGACTAGGCTCATGATGTTCCAACTTACTTGAGCTTTGACCGCCGGGACAAATTCGAGCAAAGTGCCGAAACTGGAGGGTCTTCACGTGTCGGGCCCTGGGGGGCGATACTCATTCGACGATGTTTCCATACTTTCCTGGGTGCTCGAAATGATCTCTGGGACTTGGTTCTCGAGTACGATGGGAACAACATAAGCAAGGGCGCCCTCGAGGGCGCTAAGTTATTCGCGCTTCGCGGTTCGGCCCCGATTCCTTCTCATCCTCCTCTCCTCCCCTGGGAGGCGGCGCGAGAGCGCGAAGTGATTCGCACCTCGCGCTTCGCGCAGCGCGAAGCGCGAAGTTGGGAGCCCTCGATAAGACTAGGCACCAGTCCTATGGCCGCGCGGCGGGCCGGGCTGGGGGGTCTCGAGAAGGCAGCGGGGAGGCCCGCGAGCCCAGCCTGACAGGCCCGGCTGCCAGCACTCGCGCCGCAGAGGCGGCAGAGGCAGAGTATCGCTTAATCGATTTACCGGCCCCCCGCCCCATCCCCATCCCCTTCGAGACTCCCACCAAGTTACCCCCCTGTTGGGGATACACGCCTCGAAACCCGAAGGGAACGGCCTGTATCCCCATCTAGGGGGATAAGGCGGCCAGTGGGGCCCAGGCCACGCCACTGGGGATAGGGATCGGGTAAACGATGCGCAGAGTAAGGGCCAGCCGACCTCCTGGCGGGGTCCTCATACAGTGGAGGCCCATGCCAAGAAGTACCCTGCTTGCCTCCGGGGTGTCCTGGTGCTCTTGGGCTTCGACGGTTTTGCCACGGAAAGCGTGACCTTCCCACAGCAAAAGTCAATGGGCGTCGTTTTTGGTGGAAGGTTTTTTGTGGGCTGGCCTCCACTGTGCATGAAGAGTTTCTCTCCTGGCGCGCCCCAACCGTCACCCCCTCCAGACTGCGTCACCCCATCTGCTCGACAGGGCTGGCCAGTTTCGACTCTCCCCTTCTCTCTCTGTGTATAGATATCTACACATTTGTATTTGGATCGCTGTCTTTATGTGGTTGTTGTTGGTGTGGTTGTTGTTGTGGTTGCTGTTGTTGTTGCTGCTGTTGTTGTTTAGGTTGTGGTTGTGGTTGCTGTTGTGGTTGTGGTTGTTGTTATGGTGGTTGTTGTTGTGGTTGTCGTTGTTGTTGGTGTTATTGTTGTTGCCGTGGTTGAATATTCATACCTAGAGAATCTGTATTGTCGATCACAGGAGACGGCTACATTTTCTTTGAAAGCGAGGTTTCCGCGCGAGTGTCGGCTTGAGTGTAACTGTGGGCCCCTGGAGGCCCGGCTACAACTGTAGCGGCTACAACGACAACGGCTCCC